AAAGTGCAAATCTTACCAGGCCACTAAAAACCTTCCGAGGTTGCCCATGCTTCTCATCTACCCTGCGTGTGGTGGTGCTTACCTGCCCCTCCAGCTGCCTCTCCACCATCTCCACCCTGCTCTCTGCATGGCAGCTCCTGGGGCTTCTCTGTTCCTCAGGCTCATTCACCACAGGGATTTGTACCTTCGTCCTCTTCCCCTCTCCTAGTAAACTCTACTCAGCCTTCCAAATGCAGCTTAACTGTCTGTTCCTCAGAGATTCTGTTTCCTAAACTTCCAGGCCTTTATTACAAGATATTACTCATCAGAAATCCCTGCCCTCTGAACCCTTGTCTCACTTTTCAAGTTTATAGTCATTACGGTGTTTTTATTAGTCCTATTGTCATCGCCACAAAAGAGCCTAAGCTCTGTGAGAGAGGAGGGCCACAGCTGGCTTTGCTCACTGTTTCTCCTGCCTCCACCTGGCACATAGGGGAAGTTTAAAAAGTTTCCCCAATGAATGAACAGTTGTGTCAGCCTAGGGCCCTGACAAGGCATTTACAACAGTTAACAATGTCCCTAGTTTGTTACTCACTTAAAAATAAAATCAGGTCCAGGTGTGACTGAAGTTTGCACCTAAACCTGTACAGCACGAAGCCAAACCAGCCAGTGCTAGGTGAAGAGGATCGCAGGCCTGCACATTTGGAAAAATGTTACATGCATCTTCTTTAAGAACAAACAATGATTTTGAGGGACATTCCAGTCCAACTCAATATTGAGAAAAAGAAAAGCGTTTGCCATCTCCTTCAGGGCTCAGTCCCACTAAAGACACAGTCAGTTTAGGTAACTATTCAGAAAAATCATGATCCTCGTCTTCAAGCAAATGGCTTTCGCCTGCTCCATGTTTGAGAAGCTGAAAGGACAATTAGTCATTTTTCTCAAAACACAGAAAGTTCAAAGGTAAACTGATGGTTCCAGGAAATTTCTACCTACTTTTAAATAATTTATTACCGGGAGAATCCAAGATGGCGGCATAGGTAAACACCTGAAATTGCTGCTGCGCACAATCACTTCAAAAATACAACTAAGCCCTAACCAGTTTGGCTCAGTGGATGGTGCGTTGGCCTGCGGACTGAAGGATCCCAGGTTCAATTCCAGTCAAGGGCATGTGCCTTGGTTGCGGGCGCATCCCCAGTGGGGGGTGTGCAGGAGGCAGCTGATCGATGTTTCTCTCTCATCGATGCTTCTAACTCTCTGTCCCTCTCCCTTCCTCTCTGTGGAAAATCAATAAAATATATTTTTAAAAAATACAACTAAAAGACAAAACGGACATCATCCAGAACCACAGGAAGGCTGGCTGAGTGGAAATTCTACAACTAGAAGGAAAGAGAAAAGCACAC